TTAATTTAATTTCTCACAATGACTTTAGCAATAATAATTATCAGTCATAGAAAATTATAAATTATATAATATTACCTTCAAAGCAGTGATTGTCATTACAACCAAAATTAAAAATGTTAAATAAATAAAATTTAAATTAATTAAATTTAGCAATAATTAAAATAACATTAACTAATAATTATATATTTATGATTTATGTACGTGCGAGCACGAGTAGAGATCAACGTACGATATGTTTGAAAATTGTTATAGTTTTATATAATAATTTAATATAAAAGTATTATTTTCTAATAATATATAATTGTTAAAATTTTTAATTATATAGTCCTGGTATGATTTTATAGTCGGGCTAGATGGTTATCAAGGATGGTTTCCTCCGGGGTTTTGAAAATTCTCTCCTGAATTCTCTCACTCACTTTACCTCTACAAACACAAAACCCTTTTGTAAATTAATTATGAGTATTCGTTTGGATTGATCGGTTCGATATGATTCAATTAAGTAAATTCAAATTAGTTTTGGTTTTTAAATATGAATCCAAATAGTCTAAATTAATTTTAAATTTGATCATATCCAATCCAATTACAATTCGGTTGGATTTGTTTTATAATTTGGTTTTCAAAAACCAAAACATTTTAAAAGGTCATATAATTATAATATTATTCATTTTTACAGAAGAAACAAAAAACATATTATTTAGTAGTGATTTAAAAGTTATAAACAACTATTAAAAAGATATATTATAGTTTAATATTTAATAGATATATAAACTTTTGAAAAAAAAATGCATATTAATGTTTTTTATTAGATGAAATTTTTTGAACTTATTTGAAAAAATAAATTATAAAATTAATAAATAATTATAAGTATATTAAAAATAAATGTATTTTTAAATTGTTGTTCGGTTTTTTCGAACTATTCAATTTTTATTTTATAAACCAAAACAAATCTCAAAATCAAAAATAATAATTCCTTTTTGTTGAAAACCGATTCAAAATTTTGGATATACAAACCAAATAATAAAATTCAACTTTTATCCAAAAACATACACGAACAAAAATCCAAATGCATTACGATTTGATTGATTATTGATTATTTAGTGAAAATTTATTTTAAATTTAAGCAATTACACGACTCTATGCAAATTGTATGACACATTTTTTTGTTCCTTCCAATTTGCAAAAACTTACCTTCTACGGTCTACCTATTATCATTCTTCAAACCGAAAACCTACTTTGCACCCAATCGACAAACATTTTTACCCTAATATCTTGGTGGGTTCTATGCTTCCGGCGAACATGCCATATAGTTGCCTTACTCCAGATTTGGAAGCGTGGTTTTCATCTTTGATGCTACCGCTTGCACTCAGGTAATATTCCCACCATTTTTCATTTATGATCATACACTGTGTTTTTAGCCAAATGGAAATATTTTGGGCGTTTGAAATCGAAATGGTTAGGTTTCTCTAACTAACTCCTTTGGTGTTTGTTATGGTTACTGTGTTCTTGTCAAACCTGGGTGCGTTTGTTTGTAGAAAATTTTTCAGTTCTCTAAGAAAATTTTTCAAGAAAACGGAAATTTTGAAAACGCGTTTGGTTCGTTCAGTTTTCCAAAATTTTCCAAGAAAATGAAAATATTCAGTTTTCCAAATTGTATGTAATTAGAAAAGTGATTTTTATAGTTTTCCAAAATTTTCAAGATGGAAAGTCTCAAACAAACGTGTTTTTCTAAAATTTTCATTGAAAATTGAAAGCAGAAACTCAACTCTATTTTTTGAAAACATTTTCTAAAAAATGAAAACAGTTTTCTACAACCAAACGCACCTTAGGGTGCGGTGGGAAACTGTTTTAATTTCTTATGAAAATATTTTTAGAAAATAGGGTTGAGTTTTTCATTTTCAATTTTGAATGAAAACGCGTTTAGTTGGAACGGATGGAGTTTTCATTTTCCATTCTAGAAATTTGGAAAACTTTGGAAAACTGTAAAAATCACTTTTCTAATTTACATACAATTTGGAAAACTGAAAAATTTTCATTTTCTTAGAAAACTTGGAAAATTGAATGAACCAAACGCGTTCTCCAAATTTCCGTTTTTTTTTTTTTTTGAAAATTTTTCCTAGAAAACTGGAAAATTTTCCACAACCAAATGGAAAATTGTTTTCATTTTCTAAGAAAATGTTTTCAAAGAATAGAGTTAGTTTTCATTTTCAATTTTCAATGAAAATTTTAGAAAACGCGTTTGGTTGAAACCAGTGGAGTTTTCATTTTCCATCTTAGAAATTTGGAAACCTTTGGAAAACTATAAAAATCACTTTTTTAATTTACATACAATTTGGAAAACTGGAAATTTTCATTTTCTTGGAAAATTTTGGAAAACTGAACGAATCAAACGCGTTTTCAAATTTCCGTTTTTCTTGGAAATTTTTTCTAGAAAACTAAAAAATTTTCTACAACTAAACGCACCCTTAGAGGTTTTCTTCCTCCAGGGGATATTGTCCTTTTGTTCTTGTTGTGTGTTGGCTATTGAGTGACATGTCTGGCTTTCTTCTATATGTATGTAAAAATTTCAACCAATGATTTAGAGGAGGAGATGCTTCTTTCTGTTGCATTATCTATTATTGTAATATTTCTAAGCGTGTTGAATTTCTTAAGGCATTATTTATAATTGTTATTCCAGAAGTATACAATCAACAAACGTAATTGAAATAAAATAAATTGAATTCAAATATATATATATATATATATATATATATATATATATATATATATATATATATATATATATATAATACAAGAATCAATTTACAGAAAACATACTTGTATAACGATTACACAGAAAATACTATCATGAAATTGTAGAGATTGAGGTCTGCTTTGCAGTGTCACAAGACATAAATTTCCCTGGAATGGATCTTTCTTGAGGATACAACAATCCAATTCAAGAACAGATCTTGAATCTGTCGAAATTCACCATGATCCCTTGGAAAAAACAAACGATTTTTGAGAGAAAGTGTGTGTATAATTAGCCTTCAAATTATTGTCCTTTTGTTCTTGTTGTGTGTTGGCTATTGAGTGGCATGTCTGGCTTTCTTCTGTATGTATGTAAAAAATTTCAACCAATGATTTAGAAGAGGAGATGCTTGTTTCTACTGCATTATCTATTATTATAATATTTCTAAGCATGCTGAATTTTTAAGGCATTATTTATAATTGTTATTCCAGAATTATACAATCAACAAAAGTAATTGAAATAAAATAAACTGAATTCAAATATATATAGTATACGAGAATCAATTTACAGAAAATATACTTGTATAATGATTACACAGAAAATACTATCATGAAATTGTAGAGATTGAGGTCTGCTTTGCAGTGTCCTAAGACAGAAATTTCCCTAGAATGGATCTGTCTTGAGAATACAACAATCCAATTCAAGAACAGATCTTGAATCTATCGAAATTCACCATGATCCCTTGGAAAAAAACAAACGATTTTTGAGAGAAAGTGTGTGTGTATCATTAGCTTTCAATTTCTGTCTGAATTCCTTCATTTATAGGCTTCTAATGGTGATTGTAAACCACCAACCGAAATTAACTGCCAAAAACTATCTGCACTTAATCTTTTATTTAACAGAATTTGTTTTGCATTGAATAAATAAAAAATTAATTAATGACTAATTAATTTCGGATTATATATAAAAAAATATTATCTAGGCAAGAAGAGGCCAAGAGCCCCAATATCTTTGACCATTAATATTTAATAATCCAAGTTAGCCCAATTTAACTAATCCAACACTACAACCCAAACCTAATATGGGTAACGCATTACTTGATCCATTTGATTAAATGAGTGGGACAAGACTTATAATGTAGGAAAAAGTTTTCTCTTCCACCAATGTGAGATAAGTCCTACATTGTAATTTTGTAGAGCAAAGTTCCAACAATAATATCCATGATAGATTTCCTTAGTAGGGTATTTCTACCTTCTAAAAAATGCAATATGCTTTCATATGAATATTTCTTACAACATAGATACTATTAAAACCATTAATACCAAAATTTTCTTAGTCACTTGTACTGTGCATCTGGTGCCAATTAGCTGTAGATTGGCACCATAAACTGTCATTTGATATGTGTAGATAAGGTACAACTCAAGTTGATCTGATTGATGCACTTCCGATTGTTTGTTTAGTATACATTTTTACCTTTAATTTTCCCATTACAGCGTAGTAATTTGAACTTGGTGTAAATATAGCTCTATCATAGCATCCTTACTTTAATTTTTATAATAACTTTTATTTTTCTGTATTACAAGTTTTACTTCCAACTTTTCTCATCTTTAGGCATCAAAGTTCTAAAAATTTACCTTATTATTAATATTATAGCGTTTGACATCTATAATTTGTTTATTCTTTTGTTTTCATGTCTGCAGTTTATTGTGAAGAAACTGAGGCCAAAAGACAGGAAAGGATAAGATGTATAAGAAAATACGGAAAGTTTACAAAAAAAAAAAAAAAAGCAACCCACGTACCTAAGACAATGAGTCAATGACACTTTTACCAACCCACCGACTTTTGATACTTTTAACATGTCATTTGATTTTCGATAGTTTGAAATTATATATATATATATATATATATATTTAGTTTTGTTAGTTTTTGTATTCGAATGTGATAAATGATTTTGTGAATTTTGATTTTGGAATATATAATTTCCATTTGATACTAGGTTATAGAATTTCAATTTGATACCGACAGATGTTTGACAGAAATTTCGGTCTATACTGGCTCTGTTTCTTGTAGTGAAATTTCATTTGAGATTTAAACAAATGCAGAACTAGATTCAATGACTTGCAATTAACAATCACAAGTTCGGATCATATATTTGATTGCGAATATTACTTTTATATGGTAATGTATATACAGAAACACAATATATCTTAATAGATCTTGCATAGACATTCTTTTATTTTATTTTATAGAAAGTGAGAACGTCTGTTTATCATTATTCATGCTTGATTTTGATCCCTCCAATGGAAATATCACCACCACTTGTTTTGGGCACCAATGTCACCAACACATTGTCATCATCTTCAGCCTTCAAATCCACCAAAAGATCAGTTATCCCTAACCTCAATCTCGTCTTCCCATTCTTCTCATGCTTATGCATATGAGGGACATTCACAAAACTTCCGGCGAACTCCGTTTCAGCGGCTGTGGCCCTGGTCCCATCATCTTCATCGTTCACCAACACATCAAACTTCACAAACTTATCTCTCTTCACTTCAATCCCTTCGATAACCAAAACCTCTTCTTCCTCCTCTTTCTGTTTCTTGGTCCTTGATTTCTTTGGCCTTGGAACAAGCACTTTGATCACGTTATCAAGACTCGCCGGAAAAACATCTTTTGCAAAGGGTATGTGTACATGGGCGTGCTTCTTGATGTTTTTCGAAGCCCTTTGCAGTCGTGGAACAGGTTTGCTTTCTATCCATGGTAAGTCAACATCTTGATAAATGTAATTCATATTCTTGGAGTCGACACAATCCCTCACTTTGACTCGATTCAACTCAGCATTCTCATCGTAAAACAAGAACGAAGAATCAAGCCAGTCATTATCAGTAAAATCCTTCCTTCTTCCACCTAGTGTTTTCCAAACTGACCACAATCTATCGAGATTCGCATGATGTGCAAAGAAAATAGGGTCATTCCCTGCAGAATAAAAGTTACCCATGTCTTCACCATTTGGCTGGTTCCTATCGCCGGTCCAGAGATGAATCGGGTTATGTGGCACGCTCTCGAGCGAGCCAGGACCAGGGCTAGGGTCATCACCTGCACGATAAGGACTACCCATGAAAAGACTAGCAGTCTTGGCATTAGACACCATTTGTCTATACATAATCGTGAGATTTGTGGACGTTTGTTCAGAGGGGCTAAGATTGTCGTCGGTACCAAAAAAGTCAAGATCAATCAAAGTCGGGGGTTGATGTTTCGCATCTCGAAGAATATCGTATAACGATGAATTCTTATCTGTGTAAATATCAGGGATTTTCATCCCATCTGGTGAATCCCAGTTCCAAAATGGAATTGCAAAATTTGGGTCACCAATTAATTTCCCACAAATTTTCTCGAAGAAGTAAATGTAATAGCGATGAAAAGGGAAGAACAGCCATGAGTTATGTACTTGAAGCTCCACATCTGGATAACCGAGTTGGACATACGCGGCATCACAATAGGCACAGTGAACTTTAGCTTGTTGCGTGAAATTACGAGGATCGTCATCTGGGAGAGCTTTCATGAGTTCGATAGCTTTACTGAATTTGTCTACGTAATCTTTATCAACCAAATGTGCCGCTGGTCGGACACGGAGGGGGTTTGACTGTGGTGGAAGTTTGAAATCGATAATCTTTGTGTTGTATGGAGGGCAACAGTTTGTAGGTACAGCCCCTTGGGGTAAGTCAGCCGGACCACATTTACTGATGTCGGGTCCCATGATCGGATCTGCAAAGGCCAGTGAATTAGACCCGAAGTTGGCGGCGGCACCATAAAGACCTCCAAGGCCTAAAAGGACGTTTCTCCTATCAAGTTTGCTGGAGTTTGTATGATGGTGGAGATCATTATCTAGGGTTTTGCATGAAACTGCATGGGGATGTTTGGAGATTCTGGCTATGGGAACTTGAGATGACTTGAAAGAGAAGGAAGAAGAGTAGGTGGATGAGGAAGAGAACCTCCTTCCACTCCTGGAAGAGGTGGCTTGTGATGGTGCAAAGGATGCCATAGTCTTGTAGTTTGAGCGTGCATGGATATGTGAAGAGTTACATGTTTATATAGGGTCCTATGTATGTTATATGATGATCGAAATTTACTAATTTATCCTTTTAATAATTAAAGTTATGGTTATGGAGTTCGCATTCTTTTTATCATATTATTTTCGTGCAGTGTTGACATTACGTACGGTTATAATTAACCAAAGGAAAATGGATATGATATATGTGTTCTTGCGGTTTAGACCGGAGGATGTGAGAGGAAAGTTTCCTTCATTTTTTGTGGACTATAGTGTTTTTTCCCTCACCTAAAAGCCAATGAATGGGTGTAAAGTTCTTCTCTCACTTTTTTTTTTCTAATTTATTTCGTACATATATTATACTTATTTTTTAGGAAATTAAAAACCATGAATTTTGATATATTTTTTGATATTTTTTAGTACATATATAATTTTATAAATATTAAAAAAGATTTAAAAAAAAACTATTCAATACTATATTTTGAATTATAAATATTTTAAATCATTTCATAAATATATATAATCATAATTTTTTTGAATCATAAATATTTTTAATCATTTCATTTTTGAATAATATTATATTTATTTTTATTTTCAAAGCTTTCAATCTTTTAAAATAAAATTTTGTATCTAAACAACCTTATTAAATTTCAAAAAGTTCATAATATATGATATTTAGTAAACCATTAAAAAGATTTTTAATTTGAAGAACGAAAATTTTCACATTTTATTCATTTTTTAATAAAAACTTATAATCACTTAAACAAAATGTGAGTATCCTTAATTAACAATAACACGTTTGAAAGATTTCTTTTACAAACTCATTAAAATAATATTACGAAAAACTATATCATTTGTTTTATTGAATTTGGATTAAAAAATTTTCATTATATTTTAAAAAAAACTAATATTTCTTCAAATATAAATATGAGCACTTCGAAAACTTATTTTGTAAAGTTTTTTTTTTTTTCCTTACAAAAGCGATAGTATAGTGAGTAAAATGTGACAGTCCGATATTTTGAGATAATAAAATGTAACACCAGTCAAATTTAGGCGAAAATATAACATTCCCAAAATCTTATTTGTGTTAAATAAAGTAATCGGAATCGTATTAAGGTTTTCGTACATATAAAGAACCCTAAAATCCGAGTTATAACGAAGAAGTTATGACCAACCGAAGATTCTCGGCAAAACCGACAACACCGATTAAGCGAAAAACGCAAAGTTTCAATACAATAGTTTTTAGCCTTAAGTATCTAAATGAAAGTTGTAGATAACATTAAACCGTAAACGTACGTAAAAAGAACGTCTAAACTGACTTTGTATGAGGAAGTTATGATTTTTCCAAGATCCGGATATAGCAGTAGACAGCTAAAAACTCGAAATAGAGATCGAGAGATTTTTGGCCGAATCAACCTAAATGAGAATCGAAGGTCTCAACAATAGTAGCGCAACGGCGAAAAGTCTGTCGAAAACGGACATCGGATGAAGAAGTTATGGATTTTTAACGGATTTTTTGTGTCCCGGTCCGTTAATAATAAATAATTAAAAATAAAGTCAAAATTTACCGATGAAGTCTAAACGAGAGTTGTAGAGCATATTTTCAGCTACGCGTGCATATAAAGACCATTGAAAACGGAACTCGTATGCAGAAGTTACGGATTTTACAAGTCCGAGACACAAAATTCGAGGCTGTCAGGTTGGCCACGACATGGCACAGTGACTGATGGGGTTTTCAGGCTTGGCAGAAGACGTCTCGTCCATGGAAGAGGATAAGGATCAACCCCACGACGTGGAAACCTTATGGCCACGATGTGGGACCCCAAACGTTGGCCTATAAATAGATTTCAAGGGTTTTCCGAGTTAGGTGCTCATCTCTTTCCATCTAAGTGTTGTTACTCTGCGAAATTACCTTGATAAACCATCCCAAAGCCCCGGTTTTCACACTCAAGTTACGAAGGAAGGTTCTACAGTCCCGAGATTCCCGAGAATCCCGAGAAAAATCAACTCTTCCAAGTCGAAGTTCTGCTCGATTATCATCTCGCTTTCTTCCATCTATCAAGTGAGTCCATACCCCTATAAACTACACTTTAAAATGTTTTATGAATGCTTTTTATACACTTTTAAGGGAGGGAATACAAGTAAATACACGGTTATTATCGTGTGTAACATAAAGTTTCACCATATACTCTTTTTATCAAGTGAATCATATGTGATTCATAACTACTACATAGGAACTTTCGTATGCAATATATATTCTCGATAACATCTTGTCTTTTGGAAATAAAACATGTTTATATATATATATATATATATATATATATATATATATATATATATATATATATATATATATATATATATACGAATCAAACACTTTATTTATACTTTAAGTATATATGGTCATTTATGTCACTTTAAATGTATAATATACATAACAAGTGGGCATCACACTGAGATTTACTACACGAGCGAAACACACTTTGAAAAACCATAATAGGTATAGTTTACGAGAAATTCATGAAAATTTTCATACTAGAAACATTTTATCAAAGGGATATTTTCATACGCAAGAAACAAATGGACATTTTCATTACGTAAATCTGTTTTATACTAAGTTTTGTGAGACATTTCACGTACTTTCGAGTATGCATTTTAAGTCTTGTATTATATACCATAATCCCTTGTAGGGGGAGTGTGATACTTGTGTATAGATCTATACGGCATTGACAATCTCACACCTAAGCTGTTAGCTACAATTAGGCCGGTAGGCCTGGGGTGACAAACGTCATAACATTCCAACTCATGAAGAACGTTGTTACAGGCATTCTGGGTCATTAGTATGGTTATAAACGTATTAGAAACACATTGGTTTACGGAGTTATCAAATGCCTTAGTGATTTTATAATTACACAAATCTATTATTTAGGCATGAAAAACATCATTTTGTTATAGTTTTGGAACTTTTAAACTACACACACACTTATGAACAAATATTGGATTTCTAAAGATAAACATACAAAACAGTCGAGTCTTGGTAGAAGACTACTTTTATACTAGTAGAAAATATTGGATTTTCTAGAAACTTTCAAACATGTACAAACCATTTTATTCAGTTTTATACAAACATAGAATAATTTCAAACATTGTCTTCATACTTATACGAACAATTACATTGATTAATTCCAAACGTGTTCTTCATACTTATACGAACAATTACATTGATTAATTCCAAACGTTGCCTTCATACTTATACGAACAATTACATTGATTAATTCCAAGCGTTTTCTTCATACTTATACGAATAATTACATTGAACAATTTCAAACATTTTCTTCATACTTATACAAACTATGACATTAAATACTTATGAATTTACCAGTTTTATTGCTGATACTCGCTTTCAAAATAACTTGTATTCTCAGGTCATAAATAGACAGATACGACGACCAGGTTTTGTGAAGACGGAGAAATCAAGACTCCTCTTTTATTTTGATTAGTTATCATGTTGTCTTATACTATGAAAGAATACACTTGTAATTTAAAATTTTACTATTAATGCAATGGACGATGTTGTTGCTTGTTTATTACTTTACATTGTTGTGATACATTACATGATGTCCTCCGCCCTAGAATGTTTCCGTCGTTCTCGGTTTTGGGGTGTGACAGATTGGTATCAGAGCATTGTTTATAGTGAACTGAATATATCAACCCATAAAAGATATACAAACTATAAATACAATAGGGATTAAAATACTCTGATAAAGGGTCTATACGTTTAAATAATAAAATATTTAATTAAGTATACATGCTTGCATTCATACTAAAATCAGTGTCACTAGGACAGAACAAAAGTATTACGATTGTTGGGCAGCATAAGTAGATTTAGATACATATAGTCAAAACTGGGATGATATAGCATGATCAATTATATTATCAGAGGGTTGACTTGCATGTGCCTAAGTGTGGTTGTGAGTTGCAAGAAGTCTAAAAACGTACCCACAATACCACAATGAGAACAATAGAACATAAACCTAAAAATACTATAGGAGTATCTTGTGTATTACTATAAACTACTTATGTGTTAGATTCTTATACCCTAATTATTGCATACATAACATAGCTGGACCCCATCCCCATGACAACCCGTACTTCCCGAACAAAGGCAATGCTGGATGGTCCAGAGAAGAACCAGAGAATGATCACCCAATCCCTTTTGAATGATCACCATGCTGAAGACCTTTCGGATGATGATAACTCCGAACTCGAGGATGAGAACCTACCCCCGGTAGCTCCCAATTGAAACCATAACCCTCGTCTAGCTTTTCATGGCCCGACGCCTCCTTGGGTAGAATGCTTAGAAACATGGAGCAAAGAGAAAGATCAACCTATGCCGCTTAATGGAGACCGAAGTTCCTACAACGTAAACGAAGGGAGCTCAGCAGACAGAGTTCTACCAATCCTGATCCGTAGAGTTAGCCAAAATAAAATTCAGGGCAGAATAGCTCTCTAATGTATAAAAGAGGTTAATGCCAATGCAAGAATGCATACCATTCACACCAATCGCATTGATCACACAAGTGAGAGATCTAAGAGAAACCATGAGACCCTGCTGCAAGAACTAGTTGAAACCCGAGCCGAAGTCATAGAGCTCCGAGTACGCCAGAGGGTGTACGAAAGATACCTGCTAGGTATGGAACTTCAACTAGCCGAACTAAGGGTTCACCATAGGGGTCGCTATCGCCAGTAGGAGATAATTTACTTCCTTCTTTGTTTTAAAGAACCGTGTTCCTGTATATGTTCTGTGTAGCACTTATCTATATGACTACCTTGTACTGTAAGAAATTTAGTGTAACGACCATAATTTCAAGCCAAATTAAAGTTTCTCAAAAACATCCCAATTTCTTTAAGTTTTTACAAAAAGGTTTTCAATACATTTATTATCAGAGTATTCCTAGAACCATAACATAAAACATAAACACGAGGAGCGGTAC